ACATTTATTAAGACTGCTATTATTGTATTCAGTAAATGCACTTTGTGATGTGCCTGGTTAAAAAAAAAATAACCTGAATATTTGACTTCTAAAGCAAACAAATGTAATGCTACAACTGTGCACTTTTTTTTCAGATTCTGTTAAATTAATGCTAATTTGTTGTGTTTTTATGCACTTTTTGACCTACCTTTGTTGGATGAACAATGAATAAAAATTGCATGTTTTTCATCGCAGTAATATGTGTTGGTTTAAAATGTGTCACTACCCGCTTTTTACAGGCCGCTGAATGTCTGGCCCAGCTGAATTTTGTAGTTATAAAATCTGGCCCAACTGAATGTGTAGTTGAATAGCCCTGGTCTAATACATCTAAAATCATTGCCAGTGTTATCAGTTGCAAGTGTGTGTTTGTTGTATTAATGACGAAAACATAATAGGCAGATTTCACAGTAATTATAATAAAAACGTAGCTCAAGCATTTATGCAACTTGATTTGAAGCATTTGTGTGTGAGGAGCAGAACCGTGTGTGTAGGGTGACCAGGTGTGCCGCACTGTGCGGGACTGCACACACAGCATTTTTATTATTTGTCCCGCGTCCCACACATTGAGACTATGTCCCGCATTTGAGTGATAGTCGCGCAGAAAGGCCGGATCGGTTCGCTGATTATTATTATTACATTGTCTAAACCGCATCATATAAGTTGCGCTGACAGGCGACACAGAGGTCCCCCAAGCCCCCCCCCCCGTTGATAGTTCACGAGCGCGAGTGTCTCCCGTCCACCCACCACCGTCCAACCAGTAAAAAATCCCCACTACACCACTGCTTTTAACAGTACTTTTATCAGTTCTTTTGGAGAAAAAAACAAGGTAGACTTACTAAACAAATTGTGAACAAAACTAACATTGCTTTTTATTTAAATTAAATACATAATATTTCACATCAAAAGAAACAACAATGTTTTAACAAATCGTATTAAATAATCTGATGACAGAACTGTAAACAGAATAGCTGAAACTTTAACAAAATAAATAACTCAGTTCCCTTTAATCATTAACCCATGTTTGTATAATGTAGTTAACTCCGTGTGTTGCTGCTAGCATACATAACACCTGACGTGGAAACGTTACTCGTGGATGGGGCTACAGAGCTGCTTGAAAGACAGTCGAACCCGGTGAATTCCTCCGTCTGAATGTGGTGCACTTTTGCTAAATGTTTTAGACAGATTGCTTGTGTTACCGCCCTTACATGCTAAACTCTTATTGCACTTTTGGTAACGAGCATTGTCCACATCGACACGGCTATAGTTTAACCACACCTCGGAGCGCGTTCTCTCCGCCATCTCCTCCGTGTGTGTGTTGGTTTGTAATGTAACGTCAACATCACAGCCGGTTGAGGCAAAGATTATACGTTTTTCTGTCGTTGTACGCAGAAATTTCTAGAAGGTCTGCTCTGCTAAGTGAGAGAGGGGCAGACACACGCTCCCCCACCCCGTCAAATGTGTGTGCCAGACGAGTATGAACGCAGTTTGGGAGGGCTAAAAGCCGCCCTCTAAGGGCAAAGTAACGGAGAGGGCCAAAGGAGGACCCAGTATAAAGAGGGCGTAAAGAGGGCTAAAGACTGTTTTAGTCTGAAATGTGTGCGACAAAGGTGAGCTGAAATTATTCGATGTGGTAACAAACCAAAAAAGGTACCATTGCAGAGAAATCATTTACGCGCGTTGAGTTTCAGACTCTCCCACCCGTCTATGAGTGTCTTTTGTCTTGTTTTTAGCTGTTGAACGAGGTGAGGAAAGGACATTTCATGTCCAGGTCGAGTGTGTATACGAGGTAGTTCTGCCACGATGTCCGGGTTCAGTCACTGTGAATGTTGATGTTATTAGTAACAATTAACAATTAGATTGCTCGGGCCGCTACGGGTGATCGTGTGGGGGGGGGGGTTCAAACGGTAAAACTTACGAGGGCTAAAGAATTCCAGGGATTTCCAACCGTTCACACCGAGACGATTGTACGTACGTTGTGTGTGTGTGTGTGTGTGTGTGTGTGTGTGTGTGGTGTGTGTGTGCCTGTGTGTGTGTTGGTGTGTGTGTGTGTGTGTGTGTGTGTGTGTGTGGTGTGTGTGTGTGTGTGTCG